CAGAAAATATTTACTGTTGAAGAGTTACTTGCTGTTCAGTCATTATATTTTACAAATTTAATTGTTTTATGTGTAATTTAATAATAAAAAAAAACAAAAAACAAAAATCTACCTCCACAAAGTTATTGCAAATTTTGTTAGCTTTCATTTAAAAAAAAAAGCATCGAAATCGGTTAACATTTCGAGACTGTAGCCTTTTTTGAAACACGAAATGTCGTTTGGCCCCACTGTGCGCCGGCGCCCGATGCTCCTCCTGAGCCTCCTCCTCCTCCTCTCAGTGGTCCTTTGAAGCACTCACATTGAATCTCACGCGTTCGCGGCGCATGCATTGCTCGCATGCGTACCTGAATACAAAAATCGCGCGATACTTAAAACGGCACTCCCGACATCACAGGCGAATCGAATCGAATTGTCCAAGCTGTGACGTTACGCGCGAATTCCGTCCGCGTTTCAGACGACCACATTTACCAATTGGGGCACGATTCTCTCAAAACAGTGGGCAAAAGGTAAGCTCAAAAAAGGTGAAGTGCGATTAGTCATGGAATCAATCAAATACCAGGTATCCCAGCAGCATTTCGGCGTCAATATCAACAGACTTAAGTCAAAACATGCTGACTCTATGCCGTGATTCATATAATTTTGAATGATTTCGAATACTAAATGACATCGGCTAAATAACAACAGCTTTTTTGAGCAATAATCATGCATCATGCATTATATGTTGGCATGTCTGCACGAAAAAACAAGATATTCTTATTTTAAAAATATCTTTATTTTTAACATGAAAATCTTGAAATGAGATTATATTGCTTTAAACAAAAAAAAACTGGCTTAAATAAAGTCATTTTATATAGTTCAACCAAGAAAAAAATATTCTTATTATTTAAGAATAATATTCTTATTATTTAAGAATAATTTTCTTCAATAGAAAAGAAAAAATGTTGGATAGAAAATAACATATTTTTCAAATAAAAGGAAGATATTTTATTGTCAAAATAATTATATTGTATTCTTCAAGTGATCATTATAAAATGAAAATAAGACTATAGTATTGTTAAAATTTAAGATTATTAAATTTTTTATCGGAAGATTATTAATTGTTGCGTATATACGAAACAATGAACGCGTTAATTTAAGTATATAAGCTTTGATTTGACACTACTTTTTTCCGTGTGACACTGAAGGATCCCATGATAAAAAGCAATCCTTCCCTCCCCCGAGCCAAGCCCAAAGTCGAGAAAAAATCGTGTCCAATATTAATCATATCATTCAACCGAATGCGTTCGTCTTACGATTCCCTAGAATACGGCGTTTCGTACTCGCACAAAACTATCGACACTCCCGGCATTCTATGATATTATAATGCGACAAAACAAATATTATACACTTGCGATATCACCGATGGCAATACAAAGATTTACCTGTAACATAAATACATAAATACATAAATACATAAATACATAAAAACATAAATACATTGACATTACAACAGCGTTCAAAACACAATTACGAGAAATGATAATATTATTATTAAGTTGTAATTTATTGCAAATTTTACTTGTTAATAACATTTTAATAAATAATGAACGACGGCTAAAATCTTAATTTTGATAATATAAGATTAACACGATTGTGAACCTGATTGTAGAATTCTAAATAATTACCTATTTTTCTTTTTCTTTTTTATTTATTGTATAAGTAAATAATAATTATAAACATTATAAAAATACAGGTCAAAAATGTTCTCATATAAAAATCGTACTTGATTTAAAGTTCCTTTGTGTGTACATTAGCATCTTCTTTTTTTATTAATGTATTTAATTTTTGACATTGCATAAAAGGCTTTAAAGAGTTTATGAGTATATTGAGAAATCCACTGTCGACAGGCTATGCTTGAGCGACGCGCTATTAACTCGTAAAGCTAATCGGCTTAACACGCTCTTTGAAATTCATGCCGTAAGTATTAGCTGGATAACGTATGCTGTGATGCCAACGCTAATACTTGATTATTCTTAATCTAATATTAATATTTTTAAAAAACATAACATTCTCGTGTGACATTAAAGCGGTTTAACAGATTGATACACTCTATTATCCTAAAACGACGCGCATGGTCAATCCTCGATTAAAATCCTCGAATTTTTCGACTAAATTACATTTCACAGATAATAATTCAGACGATAATTGAAACAATTCAAATCCCTTCGGATTCTGTAAAATCGCTGAGAAAACTTGTTACATCCACCTCGGGGACGAATCGAGGACTAGTAAAGTAATATCGTATTACATCGGAATACCTGTTGCGTTGCTCTCATTGACCACATTCGTTCGCGATTCACTGACGAAAACTAGCAAATTGCAAGCACGAGACTTTTATGAGAAGTCTATATCGAGTTAGCGATTAACGCTCTTCTTTACTTCGCTTCGAACTCGCAGCAAAGTTTCAAGAATATCAAAATTAACAACTAAATTTTCAAATTAAATGTAAAGAAAATTAAATAAACTCGTTGACTCGATTCTTAATAAGATAATCTATAATATATTCAAAAAATATGTATATATATAAATCTTAAAAAAATATAACTTATAAATCTCTAAAAAGATAAAAAAATATACATCTTTATTAATTTATTTAATTAACTTTTTATCGTTACATTAAAAAAAATAATGTTATGAATTCTTTTAATATTATTTGAATAATTTTTATTGAAAAATTATAAGAGATCTTTAATCAAATAGCAAAAGTAGAAAAAAAGTTATTCAAAGACTTGGAGATAAATATTTTCTCGATAAAGAGGCGCATAAAAAAATTTTTTTTTTTCAATAACCACATAATATCTATAAAATGTCGAAGTATTTCACAAAGTGTACTTTTTTCGATAGTTAGATGTATGCCGATACTTTTTCCGTCAAACACATACTTAGTAGCACTAAGAGTTTTATCCTACTTTTTTAATGCTGATGTTTTACGAAATTATAGCTAATTCACTTCAAAATGTAATAAAATATAAATTAAATTAAAAATTATAAATAAAAAAAAACAATAAAAATGAGTTTTTGCTTTGTTTCAAAATTATAATAGCATCAATATAGAAAGATAAATGGAAATGGAGAGATAAAGAAACAAAAAGGAAAGAGAAAGAGAAAGTGAGAAAAAGGTATACAAAATGTATGAATGATATAAACGAAATATTAATAATATCTCCTATATAACGAGCGACGTCTCTTACATTTCACATTATACGTACACGTATATAGGCGAACTTGAAATGCGCACGGAAATAAATCCAACGTTTCGCACGAGCGCTTACCGAAACGTTGCACTGTTATGCTGGTATGATTGCATTGTAAAACTTTTCCTCGGATTTCGCATGCATACACTATATCCTAATATAGCTGACTGCCTTTGCGTGACCCATTTTGTCGTAAAGCAGAAAGAGTAAACACCCGCCGAATACAGAGCGTCCGTCGACGCTTTTCAACGGCACGCTACTTTATACAAAGTATCGCTGCGCGACGTTGATGCATGCTAATGATAAATTTCCCAATTTTCAATGCACGTACGAGAAATAAACTCGGAGCGTTTGCTTTCGCAAATCTAACAAGCGGAAATCCCACACTTGCGATTCCGCGACTGCATTTCAAAATACACGAATATTATTACATATGTTTAAACTGCCAATTTGCAGTTTTGCATATAAATGAAACGCATATTATCAGTCTTTTGCAAATGATACTCTACAAGACTTGTGTTTGGTAAGCAGATTGCGTGTCTCTTTTCACTGTTCCATTCCTATTAAATTATTTTATCGCACATTTAATTATTCATTTTTATCAAACTATTACAATCAATTCCATTTTTAGCAATCTCGTTTGAAAAAATTTATAATGTAATTTTTCGAATTAATTGCACGAAATGTTGTTAAATATAAAATACTTGATAAAATTTGGACAATAAAAAATATCCGATCTGATAAAGTTGTACGTAGAACAAACATAAACTAACATTGCAATAGGGGGTGAGGTATCAAGATTTTTTGGCTTCCAATTTCATAGAGCAACAGGTAAAGAGGAACTCGGTATAGCAGGCGAAAAGTGAATTCGATAGGTGCTCTATCTTGTGTGAGTACACGAGGTGAGTGCTTAGAAATTGATTTATCCAAAGTTCCGAGAAGCCTCGGCAATTCATCTCCAAGTTTTTTGATAGTTCCAAGTTCAAGCATCAATGTTTAAAACACACATTAGACGACATAATACCTACATAAATTCCAGCAACGTGGAGATCAACATCTTTTTATTACAAGCATTTTATTACAAGCATTAACTGTGAAAGTTCTTGTAAAAATAATAAAAATTTTTAAGTACTTTAACACATCTTCAATCATGAGTTTTGCGTTTGTGGAAACAAATTAAATTTATCATAGCATTATTGTGATGTAACTTTTAATAATTGAGAAATTTAACGTGCTCTTTTTTATCGATTTTATTATTTTGTTTGTTGATTTTATTCTAAATATCAAAAGTACGATTCTTGAGAATTATGTTATACTGCAATTCTTGGTTCAATAATTTAGACAAATGCATACACTACATTTCAACGGAGGTAATCGAGAAGCGATTTCATAGAAGTTTACCCATAAGCTTTTTAAATGCAATCACGTGGCGGCTATCGGAGTTAGTATCACTTAAAGTTTTAAGCACTCATTGTAGAAAAGATCGAATTACACAAAGAAGCGAGAGTCATAAATACTCTAAAGTGTCAGTATCAGTTTAATCTTAGAGAAGATCGAATTATGCAAACGACAACGATCGTAATAGTTTTAAGTATCCCTATTAATCCAATGAGACTGCATAATGTAATGCATAACATGCCAAAAGTTCTTAAATCAAAAGACTCTAATCTATTAAAAATTGAAATAAATCGGTGGAACTCCAACGAAAAAATTGTTTTCTTTCGCGAGCGCTAAAGTTTTAAGCATCGATTAATGGCGGTGCCATCGGAATATACGTCATGAATATTAATTAAGAAATTAATTAAGAAATCGTCGCGTCGTCTAATTTTATCATTTTTAACATATATTACTAAACGATGTAAACATGGTGAACACTTCGAAAAATCTTTCTTCCATCTATAGAAGAATTATTTATCACATTTTTTTCATTAAAATTTAATTAGCAAAAATTACACAGATATCATTAAATGTACAAAATACATTCTTTCGCCGTAGGAATCGGAGAATTTGTGTTTTAATTTATCGATACGATACATATACAATGATTTGACGTATTTAATGCAATATTATATTATGCGGTTGTGTGTATTATGGTATATAAGAAAATGTCGAAGTCGTCTAGATTACATCAATCATGGTATGCCCGAGTTAGATGCGTGTGCCGATGATATTTCGTGATTATCGTATTAAGTGACTGTGATTAATGGGATATGATGGATCCATTTCCGAACTACTGCTTGACAAACTGTCGGTAGAATTTCGGAGCAATTACACACCCGGATAGCCTCTGATATGTCAAAGCATCGAGAGAACGTGTATTACTCGATCGCCCGAAGACACTGGATTTCGGAGTAAACGCTCCTGTGTGTGTGGCTAGGTACCTCTAAGGTTACCGCGCGCGTTACATATACCCGTTTTAGGATTAGCATATAACATATGTGTCCTAGATTCGCGATAATGATCCGTCATATTGATCCGCTGGAAAACAACACAAGAACGTTTGTGCGCATGAAATTCATCCTCGGACTTTCGACAATCAAAATAAATGAAAATTACTCGTTCTCATGCTCGTTAAAGTAACAGTTGAAAACTGCAACAAGTAGTAATTAGCCAAGTGCCATAAGTTTTAATATTATCAAATACACGATTCTGAAAAGAGATTTCCCTCGGAAACATAGAAAATCAACTGGAGGAAAAATTAAACAGAATAAGAACATGGCATAATGCGTGGAAAGTAAAATTGGAAAACTTGTTGTTGGTACTTTACTAACCACAAATTGCCGCATTTTACATTCCAGAACCAACTTATTAAAGTTTTATGATTAAAAAGTTTCAGCAACTGTCTGCGTACTTCAGACGGCATAAAAGAGATGTTTCCGGGCACGAATCGTTTGATAATTGCAACTTTTATCAGCCAAGATTTTTCGCGTAACCGTCTCTCGTTGACAGCACGAAATAGCGTTTTTCCGACCGCGAGATGCCACGTTTCGCATTACGCGATGACGAAAACCCCCTTATCGCGTTACGTTAGCTCCGCAAACGTGCAATGTAATGTAGTTATGATGCCGGAAAGTGCATAAGTGCAGTCAGGTGCAACAAAGAGTATGCATACTGTATGTATGTATACTTTATGCTGTATACGCTGTATACCCTTTGTAGTACACATTTGCCACCATATCGGTATACGC